TGAGCCACCCAGGCGCCCCACTTGTCTTAGCAATCGTAATTCTAGTTTACCTTAAAGGTATACCCTCAACAATATGAAAATGCCTCTGACCTGGTTACTCATGGCAGCTTGGTTGGTGATTATAAAATATTGGAAACAATTTAGATGTTCATACATAGAAGAGTGGTTGAATGAAAAGTCCATCCACATATCTCTGAACTGATGTGGAATGATTTCTAGGCTCTGTTGCTAAGTGTAAAAAGGGAAGTGTGAAGGAGTATCTATAACGTGCTACCTTTGTGTTCAAAAGAAGGGGTATTAAGAAAATAAACATTTGCCTCCTCACTTGCGTATAGAGAAACCTAGGAAAGAAAACCCGGAGAGGACTGAGATTGATTTTAGAAGGTAGTTGGCAGGAATTGAACAGAGAGAGGGAATGAGGGAGAAGCCATTTCTCTGAATAGACCTTTTTGTGCAGACCTGACTTTTGGAACTATGTTATCGTTTTACATATTTGAAAAAATAAAATAAAATCTTCCAAGGATGGGAGAAAAAAATCCCCAAATTTATTCATTCATTTATTTATTTATTTTAAAGATTTTATTTATTTGACAGAGAGAGAGAGAGAGAGCGAGAGAGGGAACACAAGCAGGGGGAGTGGAAGAGGGAGAAGCAGGCCTCCTGCGGAGCAGGGAGCCGGATGCGGGGCTGGATCCCAGGACCCTGGGACTACGACCTGAGCCGAAGTTAGACGTCTAACAACTGAGCCACCCAGGCGCCCCAAAAATCCCCAAATTTAATACAAACAGAAACAAATGAACCAAAGCATTCTTTTTTTTTTTTTTTAAAGATTTTATTTATTTGACAGAGAGAGACACAGTGAGAGAGGGAACACAAGCAAGGGGGAGTGGGAGAGGGAGAAGCAGGCTTCCCGTGGAGCAGGGAGCCCGATGTGGGACTCGATCCCAGGACCCTGGGACCATGACCTGAGCCGAAGGCAGTTGCTTAACAAATGAGCCACCCAGGCGCCCCAAAGCATTCTTTCAAGGGAGTAACATAAACACACTCAAAGGTGAGAAAAAATAAAAGCAGTAACTCAAGTAACTTTTAAATATAGTATTTAGGGCATATGCCCCCAGCCTAAAGACAAAAAGAACTCTAAACAAATATTTAATTCCAATTGGAATTGGTAGGCTTCACCCTACCCCCCCCCCCAATATAGATGAAAAATTCTGAAGCTACTTTTTGGAATTCTAGCAAATTGAGCACATAAATAAAAGAAACCAAGTACCTCCGGGTTGGAAAACGGAGTTACAAATACTGAGTGGGAGAAGAAAGAATGAACCCTGCAGGATTGGGTTGGAATTAGACAGTGTAAACTCTTGGATGTACACATGCCGTCCATTTCCCAGCTCTGTTCTCCAAGAAGTAATGATGCCACAGTAACTCTAACTGTACAGCAGAGAAACCACACTGATCACCCTTCATAAACACACAAACTCTGGAAAGTATGTACCTCTTCATGTTATGCAGTGAACACAATCACTTTCGTGATCTCTCCTGCCCAAAGTGTGGAACCTGAGTCTAAACAGGATGAAACATCAGACAGACCCAACTTGAGGGACATTCTACAAAATAAGTGGCCCATATTCTCCAAAATTGGCAATGTCATGAATTGCAAAGAATTATGAACTGTTCCAGATTAAAGGCGTCCAAAAAAGACATGACAACTGAATGCAATGGATGCACGATTTTGAATTTTTTACTATGAAGGATTTATTGGAGCAACTGACACTTCAATAAGGTCTGCAGATTATTGTATTCAGTCTTATTTTCCTGATACTGAAAACTGGACTGTGGATATGTAAGGGAATTCGCTGTTCTCCCCATAAAAAAGAGTGAACACTCATCCATGAGATTGTCACGAGATCAAATCAAATGTGCTGATTCACATACTGAATTCAGCACAAAACGTTGGGTAAATACAGGGAAGGATCATCATTGGTAAGAGGATCTCACAGGACAAGGTGGGTTTTAAGAAACCACCAGCTCGGGTGCAGAACGACTAGGCTTCAACAGGGTCTCCTGGGTCACTCGGAAGGGTTCCGCTCACGGAAGCGGGATCCGCAGGTGCCCAGGTTCCAGGAGGCAGGGTTTCAACAAGGCCCCGGGCGCGGCCAGCGGGTCAGTGTTCCCACACGAACCAGCGGGCCTTCCAGTTCCAGCTCCCGAGAGCCGGCAGATTAAAAAGGAAATTTGGTAATAGCCAATACAGAGCCCCAAACTCAAAGACACGGCCGCCGGATTCTGGGACTTTCGCCCACTGGGTCCCGGTGAAGGTGCCAGAACCCCGAGATGACCGGTACCGCCAAGGGCGAGCCCAAGGTCGGCTGGCCGGCGGCAGGCTCTGTGCCCAGCTGCTTTCAGCTCTGTTTTGAGACAGCACAGCTAGTTCTCCGGCTTAAAAAATAGTCATTAAAATGGCCATGGGAGACACTCTGCATGGGGTGAAAAATTAAGGGTGTTTGTGACGTTTCTGCCCTGCCACGTTGAGCCCGTCCCGGGTTCTGTAGAACATGGCGTCGCCGCCCGGCCGCCTTACCCGCAATACTAGTACGAAAATCATCCCCAAGGGCAGCCAGCCTGGTTCAGCACCGTCTGCAGCGTGGAAGCTGCCAACACATCGGCCAGCTAGTGTAGCCTTCGCCTCGGGTCCTGGGCCTGAACCCGGGCTCTTAAGTTAGGAGCGTGCCCGCCGCTTGGAGTCTGCGGGGCTTCTCCCGGGTGCGGAAGGCCGGGTGTGAAGCGGCGGCAGGCACACCCCAAAGGGCCCATGATCACAGAGACGCAGCTCTGTCGCTAGACTCGGACCATCAATTCCAAACATGGGGAGACAAAATGGCGGCCGTGTCCCCGGCAGAAGCCACATACGGGTTCCGCGGCACGCAGGACCTACAACTCCCAGAGTGCTCTGGGTCGAAAGTGGGAGGGCGGGGAGCGCGCTAGCATCCCTCGATGTGGCCCTGGGCCCTGTGCCCCGCCCCCTCCCAGCGGAAACCCTGTGGAATACGTGGCCCGCTCCGGTCCGCTCACCCGCCCTTCTTCGCACTGGCCGAAGGGACTCGTAGTTCACTGGCAACGGTGTTGACCCTCCCTCGGGTCTTAAGAAACTACAGTTCCCGATGTGGCTTCCGCGCCTGCGCACAACGCCGCAGGGCGTACTACGGTTCCCGGCGGGCCCTGCGACGCGCGCGGGTGCGTGCTGACGCACTTAGTTGGTCGTGCTGACGTGCAGCGCGGCCCAGGCGGGGTGCGAGTGGCGCAGTCGGAGCCCGCTGCGGCCCCTGAGGAAGCGAGGAGGCGTCGGTGTCGGCTGAGGCGGGCGGACCGGCGAAGCGAGGCGGCAGCTCCAGGCCCCGAGGGACTCGGGAGCTTGAGTAGCAGCGGCGGCAGCACCTCTCCCCCTCGGAGGCGGCGGGTGGAGGCGGCGGCGGCGGGTGAGAGGGTGAGGGAGCGCGCGAGCCGGGTGGGGGAGGGGCGGCGGCCCCCGGCGCGAGGCCAAAGCGCGCGGAGAACGGTCCAGGCCGCCGCGCGCACGCGCGCTCGCCGCCCCTAGCTCACGCGGACGCCCTCGTTCACCTGCCTCCCCCCCCCCCACCCCCCGCCTTCCTTCGGTTCCTGTCGCGCGCGGGCTTTTACTGCCCTTCCCCTCCCCCATGGCAACGGCTCGCGCCGCCGACTGCTCTCGGGCTCGCGCGCGCTCGCGACGAGGAGGGGGAGCGTTCGCCTCGGCATTTCGCCTCCCCCACGCGTGCGGCCGAGGAGGCCCTACCGCGGCTGCCCCTTCCAACATTTTCTCGGCGGGGAGGCGGCGGCGGCGGGGGCCTGCTCCCGGATCTCTTTCTTCGAACCTCTCCGGCCTCCGGCTTCCCAGTCCCTCCCGCGGGCCTGCGGTCCGGCGCGGAGCCTCCCAGACTCCTGGGCGCCTCGCAGCCCCCTCCCCCATGCCTCAAGGCCGAAAATAGGCCTTGGCGGCGCCGCCGCTGCAGGGAGGCTTGGGACTAGGTGTCGCGCATATTGGGGCCCTTCAGACTCGTTACTGTCGGTCTCGAAGCGGTGGGGAGAGGAGAGCTCCAAACCTTGGTTTTCTTTTTTCTTTCTTTTTTTTTTTTTTTGAAAGACGTGTTCAGCTCAGGTACGTAAAGGCAGACCGTGTACTTTTCTTTTTCATAAGTGTGTTTTTAGTTTTCCACTTACTCATTGTCTTTCAAAAGTTGTGTTAAAGGTGGGGAGGCCGTTGGAGTCCTTCCTTGGGAAGAAAACCCTGGGCGCCGACTCAGGGATTATTTGGCACCCAACCCTTATGAACCTTCGTTTCCACTCAGGCTTATCTAAGATGTCGTGTGGACCAAAAACTCGAAAAGAGCGTCTCGTTGTCTTTTAAGTGTGTGGTTTTAGGTTTTGTCTTGGAACTATTTAAAATTTTGGGGGTTCCATAGTGTCCGCCCAGCTACCGAAATGCCCCCTTACTGCGCTTACCTATGTCCATTTTCCTGCATACCCACCTCGTTTTTGGCGCGTTCCTTTTCTTGAGTATCTCAGTATTGAATTTCCAGATTGCCTTATATCTCTTTGTTAGTTTGGCGTCGTGATTAAATTTTCCAGCAAAAATTCTGTTGTCTTTGCAGCTTATATTTATTCTTTGACTTTAGCTTGGGTAGGTTGAGTGCTCACAGTCTGTGGACCCCAGTTAAGAATGCCTGTTTAAGTTACCTGGTTTTGATGATTTTTCTGTGTGTTGGTGTTCCTCTTTGGTCTTTTCCTTTTAGTGTTTTGAGGGCTGTTTTGCCCCGGGGCGGGGGGGGGGGACTTGTTCCCTAAAAGTTCTATAATTCGTTGTGTTTTAAAACCCTTTCCTTAGCTATTGGTTTTCCCTCCTAAGGGAGTGGGAGGATTTTTGTGTGAGGTGGTATGGAAGTGTGGGTGAATGGTTAAGCTAAAGAATTAATTGTATGTGAGAAGCATTCTGTAAGGGAGGCAGAAATTAGGTGGGGTTTAGAGAGGCAAAGAAGGACCTAGGTTTAGAGTGGGGAGGGTTGGTATTTGAGAAAACAAAAGTGAAGGTTGGAAGATAGAGAAACTGATTTCTTGTGCTGTAAAGAGATTTTTCTTTTTTTTGAATGTGCATTTCTACTTTTCCTAGATTTAGCCTCATTTGTTATTCCTTTACCTTAGCGTTGTTTTCTTTTTGTTTTCAGCCCTCTTGAGTGCTACTGGGATTGGGCAAGGATCCAGCCTTTAGAGTTTGGGGATAGAGGTACAAGCAGTTCTGGAATTGGGCAATTTTCCTTCCATTCACTGTCTTCCCATACTTATTTTTGTTGTTTGTTTTAGTACATTCTCAGGTATTTGTGTGCTGTTTTTTTATTCTGGAATTTTAAAAACATAGCATTTCTTTTTATTCAATTTTATCTATTAATCTCTCCATTTGTTTCTTGGGTTTTGTCTTGGGGTAGTTTTCCCTCATTTATGCTTTGTGAAGCTGTCTTCGACAGGATGAGATGGGGGAAGAAATAAAGTGCATATAGTAGGGAAAAGGAATAGAGTATGCGTAGCTAAGAAATCTAACCAGAAGAATGGGAGCTTGAGGGCTCTTCAGAGCCATGCTGGGGTTGGGACAGGTTGAGAGGATAGAACTTGGTAGAACGCACGGAGATAAGATGAGAGGGATAAGGCAGGCCTTGAAGAGAAACTCTAGGAAGTTAGATACAGGGTATTGATAGGGAAAGCTGACTGATGTTAGTGAATGGGTATAAAGAGGGGGCTTCTGAGTAAGTTTAGGGCAAGGAATGTAGAGGGTATGGGAACAGTTGGAGCAGAGGAGGCTGATTTGATGTATTCAGAGCATTGAGTTGAAAACAGGTGATGTTAAAGAGGAACTAATGAGACTCGGGTGAGCTGCAAATCATGTAAGAAATCCAATGGGAAGGAAATTAAAGGAATAAGATACCAGGTGAGGTAGTTGATAGGAACTTAGTGATAATTGGAATCCAGGAAATGGTCTCTTACCTCTGGGAGGTAAAATACAAGAGGATTCTACATCCAAGGTTCTGTGTTTCTGATACGCTTACTGGCCTTTATTCTTGAATGTGAGGGTGTACAGGATACTTGGCTTATGTCAGGAACCAATCAGTCCACCTGTTCAAATACGTAGGGGTTGTTTAGTCTGTTTTGTTTTCATAACAGTGTAGTCTGAAATTCTCAGGTCAGTTCTTAGAAGAATCTTTGAACTTGTATTGTGGGCCTTAGTGGCCACAGATCTGTGGTGGTGGTTGTGCGCTGTTTGGAGGCCTCAGTAGGTTACCAGATGTTAGGGATTAGATTAGTTGGTGGAGACACTTGTGCTTATTGGGGCCAAGGGAGAATAAAGAGGCAGTGTGGAGAAATTAGAAATGGGTTTCTTGTTTTCTTAGGGTGGAAAAGAACATCTAGGTGCAAACAGAAATGGAAATAGCTCTTGCACTTTGGGGGGAAAGGCTGTAAGAGCTGGGCTGTGATTTTAATGGAAAGTATGGGAAGGATAAGGAAGGGTTTTTGTTAGGAGACCAGGAGGATTAAGCAGTTAAAGGAGGTTTAGTGTGGAGATTCATGTTGAAATAGATGAAGGAGAACAAGGATTTGGGTGGTGGTAAGTGGTTAGTTTGGGGTCAGGGGCCTGACCCGTGTTTCCCCGCTCCCCCTCAGGAGCGGTGGTGCCCCCCCCGGGCACGGGGCCATGTACAACGGGATCGGGCTGCCGACGCCCCGGGGCAGCGGCACCAACGGCTACGTCCAGCGCAACCTGTCCCTGGTGCGGGGCCGCCGGGGTGAGCGGCCTGACTACAAGGGAGAGGAGGAACTGCGGCGCCTGGAGGCTGCCCTGGTGAAGCGGCCTAATCCTGACATCCTGGACCACGAGCGCAAGCGGCGCGTGGAGCTGCGATGCCTCGAGCTGGAGGAGATGATGGAAGAGCAGGGGTGAGGGGAGGGCTGGGGGAGAGCCAAGCACTGAGTGAGTGCAGAGCTGGGGGAATTAGGTGGGATATAGGGAGCTTAGGGCTGGTTGAAGAGGCCTGAGAGGAGTTGTAGGAGGGGAGGAGATAAAGGAGCTAGAAAATGGAAAGGAGTTAAGGGACAGCTCAAGGTGGGAGATGAGGAAACTGTGTCTGTGACAAGAGGAAGCCTCAGGGAGTCTGAATTATTTAGGTGGAGGCATATGGGGAAAGAGGGAAGCCATAGAAAAACAAAAATGTGCTTTAAGGGGAGGTGGGAAAGCAGGTACCAGGGAAGAGAAGAGCTAAGGTATAAGCTGACAGGTGGTGTTACTGGTAGAGAAGAGGAAGTAAATGGATTGAAGGATTGAGGCTTTGGAAAGTACACGAAGGCAGGAAAACAGGAATTGGAATAATACCTGGATAAGAGGGGATCATGAGTTGGGTAGGGAAGTGAAATTTTGGAAAAGGGGCACAGTCAGGCAGAAGACCTTTTAGAGCAGTGGTTTTCAAACTTCAGCAGTGGCACCCTTCTTACACAATGTACTTTCAGAATCTCAGGAAATACCTGTTGTTGAAGTTGGGGAGGAGCACCTGGAACTCTGTTTAACTTTCCTCTTTTGGCCCCTGGAGTGTAGCATGTTTAAAATCCACTGTTCTAGAGGCTATAGTAAGTGGAGAGAAGATAACAGGAAAAGATGAGAAAGATTTAAGAGAAAGGCCCTTTGGGGGACAGTGAGTTGAAAAGTTTTTATGTGTGCATGGAAAGGGAAGGGATCCTCTTGGGAATGAGAAAACTGTAAACCTGGGACTGGGGAAAGTGCCTAGTCAAACTTTAACCCTGAAGGGATTTGTTCTTTAGGTACGAGGAACAGCAAATTCAGGAAAAGGTGGCTACCTTTCGACTCATGTTGCTGGAGAAGGATGTGAACCCTGGGGGCAAGGAAGAGACCCCAGGACAGAGGCCAGCGTGAGTGTTTTCACTATCACTTATTTCCTTTGGATGCTAAATAGCTGCTTCTGTTATCTTCTCTTCTTGTGCATTCTCCCTGCTCTCATCTTCTTTTCCCTGGCCCATTTGGCTGCCTAGAATTGTGTGAATATGACTCTGTTCTTTGCTAACTCCTTCTGACCTTTGCCTTTTTTTCCCCCTAGGGTAACTGAGACTCACCAGTTGGCAGAACTGAATGAGAAGAAAAATGAGCGACTCCGTGCTGCCTTTGGCATCAGTGATTCCTATGTGGATGGCAGCTCTTTTGATCCTCAGCGTCGTGCTCGAGAAGCTAAACAACCAGCTCCAGAGCCTCCCAAACCTTACAGGTACTCAAGGCCAAGAATCTACGTCAGCTTCTTTTCTTGATTCTGTGTACTCTGTTACTTGTTTTTGTGAGGGTTTTTTGGACTATTTCCTATCAAACTGTTCTGATTTTGTTTTGAAGTTGAAATGTCTTAAAATTTGTCTTAGCACTCATCCTGCATCTTTTCATCTTTCTCCAAGTCTTGTCCGGGAGTCCAGCAGTTCTCGCTCACCCACCCCAAAGCAAAAAAAGAAAAAAAAGAAGAAAGATAGAGGACGGTAAGTTAGTTGGAAAGTTACTCTAATAGCCAGAGCACTAATTCTGTCGTTTTCTTTCTCAAGAAAATAGTTCTTGGAAGCAGGTGAGAGTTGTCAGGGAAGAGGGAGTTACCCTTCAGATTTCAGTCCGAGAATGAATACGTTTCTTCAGTGGGGAAGGGTTGATTCTGCAGTTCTGCCAACTAAGAACTAACCAGCAACATCTTAAATTGGATTTTCTTTTTCATTTTGAGATTTGTTGCTTTATGCTAGAGGTACTTAAGTCTCTTGGAGAGGAAGTCTGAGACCTTGGTGCTGTTAGACTTTTTTTTTTCCTTGCGCTTAGAAGCCTCTTTTGGAGGTGGATTATAAATGGGAAGGTCAGGGAAGGAGCCAAGCAGAATGACTTTGTTTTTGAACCCATCTTTAGCAGGTCAGAGAGCAGCTCTCCTCGACGAGAGAGGAAGAAGAGCTCTAAGAAGAAGAAGCACAGGTATGAGGTGGGAGTACGTGGAGTGATTGGAGAGGCTTGATGAGTCCAGGCATAGGTATTGGTTCATGTTTTTTTCTTCTCCCCTCCTCCCCCTCTAACAGGTCAGAGTCTGAATCCAAAAAACGGAAGCATAGGTAAGAGCTTTTTGGGGCATAAAGGGCATAGTGGCACATGGAATGGTGAGCCAGGTTGTCCTTGCCTGTTCTCTAGGGGGTTTCTGGGAATATAGCTCAATTCTTAGATCTTGCACTGTTAATTCTCTGATTCTTTCCATTTTACTTTTGGTTTTATTTTAAAATGATGATTGTTTTTAATAATCTTACTTTTATTCGTCAGGTCTCCCACTCCAAAGAGCAAACGTAAATCTAAGGACAAGAAGCGGAAGCGGTGAGTGAATTTGTGTGGATTGGAGGGTAATTTGCTTAACAAGTAGGTGAAGACTACTTGGTGGGGGATAGGGGAGAATTAGTTATGTCCTAGACAGATGGTAGAGGGTTGAGAGATGGATGAGAATCCAGTACAAGTGTGACAGAACCCTGAGTTGTGGTGGCCTTCCTTCAGGTCTCGAAGTACAACACCAGCCCCCAAGAGCCGTCGGGCCCACCGTTCAACATCTGCTGACTCTGCTTCCTCTTCTGATACTTCCCGCAGTCGGTAAGGGGTGGTCCAGGAGGAAGGGAGGGAGAGGGACTTGTGGGTTAATCAATTTAATATTTATTGAGCGCCCACGGTGTGCTAGGCGCTGCACAGACCATTCGGAAGACACGGTCCCTGCCCTCTAGGAGCTGACAGGCTAAAGCAACAGGATGGACAGACATATACATTTCCCCTTCTCTTTTTTTTTTTGTTTTTGTTTTTGTTTATTTTGTTATTTTTTGTTTTGTTCTGATGTATATGGACTGCCAGAATAGGGGGGGTGGTGGTTTGTTCGTGGTGTCTGGGGGAGGAAGGAATCCTTACCCTGGCTTCCTTAATCGGGGAAGGCTTCCTGAAGGAGGTGGGCTCAGAGGTGAGTTGTGAATGAAGTGGGTAGGGAATGGGCAGGGTGGAGGGTTGGAGGAGGTTGGGGGAGGTGAGTAAAGGGGTAGAGGGAGAACGTTTTTGGGGACTGTGTTGGGAAGAAAAGGACCAAAGTGAATTGGACTTGAATTTCCATATGAGTGATTTGAGTCGTATGTGTAAGAGAAGGCTTTTTGGAAGAGGGTTTGTACATTCAGGAAAGGTGGATGGGAGCTGGGGAGGGGGTTCTCTGTTCTCCCCTGAGCTGATTTTCTTCCTCTTCCCTGCCCTCAATTACCTTCCTCAGGTCTCGAAGTGCAGCAGCAAAAACGCATACAACTGCCTTGACTGGGCGAAGTCCTTCCCCTGTTTCAGGGCGTCGAGGGGAGGGAGATGCACCTTCTAAGGAACCAGGTACCACCAACATAGGGCAGCCTAGCAGCCCAGAGCCCTCTACAAAGCAGCCTAGCAGTCCTCATGAAGACAAAGATAAAGACAAGGAGGTATGTTACTGAGTTAATGGATGTTTTTTGGGTTGCAGGGTTAGGACTGGTGTTTGAAGAAAAGGAGGGAAGTGAAGTTTTGAAAGAAGTGAATTTAGTTTTTTTAATGCATTTCTCTTAGTTATCAGGTTTTTTTTACATTGGCAAATTCTTTAGAATTATGTGTTTTAAACTTGACTTTATTAATAGGTTTTACGTCAATATTTTATACTTTTATGTACAGCTTGGGAAAGTTTTTTTTAAAATTATATTTAGTCGTAGTACTTATAATGTGTCTAGTTTTTTATTTTGTTAAATGCTGGGTGTAGCTAAGGGTTTTTAACCCATTGGGTTGCTGCCTGCAATTGGAAAACACTACTATATCTGTCTTTTCAGTACTTTTCATCTTGTGGTTATTCTCATTGAGCCCTATTCACGATGCTTTCCTGTTTCAGCTATTACATAAATTGCTCTTCGCTAAATTCTTAGATTTTTTGTCCATTTTCCACGTTATCTAGAATTCTTTTTCTAAATTACAAGTTGGATCACAAAAATCTCATATTTAAAGCTTTTATAACTTGGTCTACTTTTTCTTTTGTATAGTTCATCATAGTCTTATTTATATAAATCATGTTATTAAATTTTTGCTTTTGTTCTTTTCAGTATTTTTTTCAAGGGTAAAGTTAGATGCCTCCCACTTTGGGAAACCGCTTTGTTTCTCCGTTTTAAAAAAGTGCCCTTTTTTTAATGTCATGGCATTTTGTTATGGTGGTTACAAAATACCATGCATTAGTTGTTTGCATTGTGTTTTTTCCTAGATAACGAGAGTTTTAAAGTGATAGCTTGTCCATATTTTTGCGTTTTCTCCACTTTTTGTATAATCTTTTTGTTAATGATGGCCTGTGGTGAGGAAAGGGACCAGTTGGTGTAATGGGGTGTGCAGAGAAAAATTTCATTGGGAAGGGTGTTGGGCTCTTACGGGTGATAGGAAGTTTTGGTGCTTACATTCCTATCCATACTTTTTTCCCCTGCTCTTAGAGATCTGCAGTTCGACCTAGCCCCTCTCCGGAAAGGAGCAGCACAGGCCCAGAACCACCTGCTCCCACTCCGCTCCTTGCTGAGCAACATGGCGGCTCCCCACAACCCCTTGCAACAATCACATTAAGTCAGGAGCCAGTGAACCCCCCATCTGAGGCTTCCCCACCCCGGGGCCGTTCACTAACTAAGTCTCCTGAGAAACCGCCCCAGTCTTCTTCAGAGAGCTGCCCACCATCCCCTCAACCTACCAAAGTTTCTCGACATGCCAGCTCTTCCCCTGAAAGTCCTAAACCTGCACCAGCTCCTGGGTCCCGCCGAGAAATTTCTTCTTCTCCCACATCCAAGAGTCGCTCACATGGCCGGGCAAAGCGGGATAAGTCACATTCTCATACCCCTTCTCGAAGAGTGGGGAGGTCCCGTAGCCCTACCACTACTAAGAGGGGACGATCTCGGTCTCGAACCCCTACCAAGAGAGGTCATTCTCGGTCCCGGTCCCCTCAGTGGCGTAGGTCCCGGTCTGCACAGAGGTGGGGACGATCCAGAAGCCCCCAGCGACGTGGCCGCTCTAGGTCTCCTCAGCGACCAGGCTGGTCTAGAAGCAGAAATACCCAGAGAAGAGGCAGGTCTAGATCAGCAAGGCGAGGCAGGTCACACTCTAGATCCCCAGCCACTAGGGGCAGATCTCGGTCTAGGACGCCAGCCCGTCGGGCCAGGTCTCGCTCTAGAACACCTGCCAGGCGCAGATCACGATCCAGAACACCCACCAGACGTAGGTCTCGCTCTAGAACACCAGCCCGGCGGGGCAGGTCTCGCTCTAGAACACCTGCTAGGCGCAGATCTAGGACCCGATCACCAGTACGACGGAGGTCTCGTAGCAGATCACCAGCCAGGAGAAGTGGCAGGTCACGCTCTAGAACCCCAGCCAGACGTGGTCGGTCACGCTCTAGAACCCCAGCCAGAAGAGGGAGATCTCGGTCTAGAACACCTGCAAGACGAGGACGGTCTCGGTCTAGGACACCGACAAGACGAGGACGGTCTCGGTCTAGGACACCTGCAAGACGAAGATCTCGTAGTAGAAGTGTGATTAGACGGGGAAGATCTCACTCTAGAACGCCACAAAGAAGAGGCAGGTCTGGTTCATCATCAGAGCGGAAGAATAAATCCAGAGCGTCACAGAGAAGGAGCAGGTCCAACTCAAGCCCAGAAATGAAAAAATCTCGCATTTCTTCAAGGCGGAGCAGGTCTCTCTCTTCACCACGGTCCAAAGCAAAATCTCGCTTGTCTCTGCGGCGAAGCCTTTCAGGGTCATCTCCGTGTCCTAAACAAAAGTCTCGGACACCACCAAGGCGCAGTCGCTCTGGATCATCCCAACCAAAAGCTAAATCTAGAACACCACCAAGGCGAAGTCGGTCTGGTTCTTCTCCTCCTTCTAATCAGAAATCTAAAACACCATCAAGACAGAGTTGTTCCAGTTCATCTCCTCAACCTAAAACGAAGTCTGGAACGCCACCAAGGCAAGGGTCTGTAACAAGTCCCCAGGCAAATGAACAATCTGCCACGCCACAAATGCAGAGCTGTTCAGAATCACCTGACCCTGAGATGAAATCTACAACCCCTTCGAGACATAGCTGCTCTGGGTCCTCTCCTCCTAGAGTGAAATCAAGCACATCTCCAAGACGGAGCCGATCTGAGTCGTCGTCTCCACAACCCAAAGTGAAGGCAGTAACGTCACCAATCCAGAGCTGTTCTGGCTCCTCTTCTCCAAGTCCTAGCAGGGTGACATCCAAAACATCTCCAAGGGAAAGCAGATCAGAGTCTCCTTGCTCCAAGGTGGAATCTAGACTGTTGCAAAGACGAAGCCATTCTAGGTCCTCCTCACCAGATACCAAAGTGAAACCTGGAATGCCACCAAGACAAAGTCACTCAGGATCTACTTCTCCATGCCCTAAAGTAAAGCCCCAAACTCTATCGGGACACGATCTTTGTGGATCGAAGTCACCATGTTCCCAAGAGAAGTCTAGAGACTCATCAGCACAAAGTTCTGGGTTCTTCTCTCTCTGTCCAGGAGTAAAGTCTAGCACACCACCAGGAGAGCTGTGTTTTGCCACCTCCTCTTTGCAACAGAAAGGACAATCTCAAACTTCACCAGACCCTAGATCTGATGCTTCAAGTCCAGAAATGAAACAGAGTCACTCTGAGTCTCCATCTCTGCAGAGCACATCTCAGACACCTCTTAAGGGTGGCTGGTCCAGGTCCTCATCTCCAATCACTGAGCTGGCACCCAAATCTCCAGCAAGACAAGAAAGAAGCGAATTATCCAGTCCTAGGCTAAAATCTCTAATGTCTCCTGAGCAGAGCAAGTCTCAGTCTGACTCTACCCTGTATCCTGCAATGGACTCTAAATCTTTTCTGGGGCAGAGTAGATTGGAGCCTTCTGAATCGAAAGAGAAAACAGGCTTATTCCTTCAGGAGGATATTACTGTGTCATCTCCTAGACCAAGAGACAAATCAAGTCCTCTTCCAGTGCAGGATAAGCCTGATTCCCCACCAGTACTCAGAGAGACTCCTAAAACCCCATCAAGGGAAAGAGGTGGTGGTGGTGGATCATCTCCAGATACAAAAGACCAAAGTGTGTTAGCTAAGCCAAGCCAAGATGAAGAATTAATGGAGGTGGTAGAGAAATCTGAAGAACCCTCAAACCAGGTCCCCTCCCATTTGTCTCCAGAACTTAAAGAAGTGGCTGGAAGTAACTTTGAATCATCTCCTGAAATAGAAGAAAGACCCACTGTGTCTCTAACTGTTGACCAAAGCCAGTCACAGACTTCTTTGGAAGTAGAAGTCCCTGCAGTGGCCTCAACTTGGAGTGGGTCACATTTTTCTCCAGAACATAAAGAACTGTCTAATTCTCCCCCGAGGGAGAATAGTTTTGGGTTACCTTTAGAATTTAGAAACTCAGGTCCTGTTGCAGAAATGAATACTGGATTTTCTCCTGAAGTTAAAGAAGATCTGAATGGATCTTTTCCTAATCAGCTGGAGACAGATCCATTTGTAGATCTGAAGGAACAATCAACAAGGTCCTCTAGACGCAGTAGTTCTGAGTTATCCCCAGATGCAGTGGGAAAAGCAGGAATGTCTTCATATCAGAGTATTTCTTCACCGGTACTTGATGCAGTACCCAGAACACCATCAAGGGAAAGAAGTAGCTCTGCATCTCCTGAACTGAAAGATGGCTTACCCAGAACCCCTTCGAGGAGAAGCAGGTCTGGGTCTTCTCCAGGACTTAGAGATGGGTCTGGGACTCCCTCAAGACACAGCTTATCTGGGTCCTCTCCTGGAATGAAAGATATACCTAGAACACCATCCAGGGGGAGAAGCGAATGTGATTCTTCTCCAGAACCAAAAGCTTTGCCTCAGACTCCTAGGCCAAGAAGTCGTTCACCATCATCCCCAGAGCTCAACAACAAGTGTCTTACCCCCCAGAGAGAGAGAAGTGGGTCAGAATCATCAGTTGAACATAAGGCTGTGGCTAGGACTCCTCTTGGTCAGAGAAGTCGATCTGGATCTTCCCAAGAACTTGATGGGAAACCAGGTGCATCCCCTCAAGAAAGAAGTGAATCAGACTCTTCTCCAGATTCTAAAGCTAAGACACGAGTACCGCTTAGAGAAAGGAGTCGCTCTGGCTCATCTCCAGAGGTCGAGAGCAAATCCCGACCTTCTCCTCGGCGCAGTAGATCTGGCTCATCTCCTGAAGTTAAAGATAAGCCAAGAGCAGCACCCAGGGCACAGAGTGGTTCTGATTCCTCTCCTGAACCCAAGGCTCCTGCCCTTCGTGCTCTTCCCAGACGAAGCAGGTCAGGTTCATCAAGCAAAGGCAGAGGCCCTTCTCCTGAAGGAAGCAGCAGTTCAGAGTCGTCTCCAGAACACCCACCCAAATCCAGAACTGCTAGAAGAAGCTCTAGGTCCTCACCAGAGCCCAAGACCAAGTCCCGTACTCCACCTCGCCGTCGCAGCTCTCGATCCTCTCCTGAGCTGACTAGGAAGGCCAGACTCTCTCGAAGAAGCCGCTCTGCATCATCCTCACCGGAAACCCGTTCTAGGACTCCCCCAAGACGCCGAAGAAGTCCTTCAGTCTCTTCCCCAGAGCCAGCTGAAAAGTCAAGATCCTCACGCCGCCGGCGCTCAGCTTCATCCCCACGTGCTAAGACAACTTCAAGGAGAGGCCGTTCTCCGTCACCAAAGCCCCGTGGGCTCCAGAGGTCCCGTTCCCGCTCAAGGAGGGAGAAAACCAGAACAACTAGACGTCGAGATAGGTCTGGATCTTCTCAGTCAACCTCTCGGAGAAGACAGCGGAGCCGGTCAAGGTCTCGGGTCACTCGTCGGCGGAGAGGAGGCTCTGGTTACCACTCAAGGTCTCCCGCCCGGCAGGAGAGTTCCCGAACTTCTTCCCGACGCCGAAGAGGCCGTTCGCGGACACCCCCGACCAGTCGGAAGCGGTCCCGCTCACGTACCTCACCAGCCCCATGGAAACGTTCAAGGTCTAGGGCCTCTCCCGCCACTCACCGGCGATCCCGGTCCAGAACACCTCTGGTCAGCCGCCGTAGGTCCAGGTCTAGAACCTCACCAGTCAGTCGGAGACGATCAAGGTCCAGGACATCAGTGACTCGACGAAGATCTCGATCCAGAGCATCTCCAGTGAGTCGAAGGCGATCCAGGTCTAGAACACCACCAGTAACCCGCCGTCGTTCAAGGTCCAGAACACCGACACGCCGGCGCTCCCGTTCTAGAACTCCACCAGTGACCCGAAGAAGGTCTAGATCTAGGACTCCACCAGTAACCAGGAGGCGATCTCGAAGCAGAACTTCCCCTATCACTCGCAGAAGGTCGAGATCCAGAACATCCCCAGTCGCCCGTAGAAGATCTAGATCTCGCACATCTCCAGTAACTCGAAGGAGGTCCCGCTCTCGAACCTCTCCAGTGACACGCCGCCGATCTCGGTCCCGAACACCTCCAGCTATTCGGCGCCGCTCTAGGTCTCGGACCCCACTGTTGCCACGCAAACGTTCTCGAAGTCGCTCTCCACTTGCTATCCGCCGCCGTTCTAGATCCCGTACTCCGCGAACAACTCGGGGCAAACGGTCCTTAACAAGATCTCCTCCTGCCATCCGAAGGCGTTCTGCATCTGGAAGTAGTTCTGATCGTTCACGTTCTGCTAGTCCTCCAGCAACAAGGAATCATTCTGGTTCTCGGACACCTCCAGTAGCGCTCAATAGTTCCAGAATGAGCTGCTTCAGTCGTCCTAGCATGTCACCAACACCTCTGGACCGCTGTCGATCACCTGGAATGCTTGAACCTCTTGGCAGCTCTAGAACACCCATGTCTGTCCTGCAGCAAGCTGGTGGCTCCATGATGGATGGTCCAGGTCCCCGAATTCCTGATCACCCAAGAACATCTGTGCCAGAAAATCATGCACAGTCTAGAATTGCACTTGCCCTGACAGCCATCAGTCTTGGCACTGCTCGGCCGCCTCCATCCATGTCTGCTGCTGGCCTTGCTGCAAGAATGTCCCAGGTTCCAGCTCCAGTGCCTCTCATGAGTCTCAGAACAGCCCCAGCTGCAAGCCTTGCCAGTAGGATTCCTGCAGCCTCTGCAGCAGCCATGAACCTGGCCAGTGCCAGGACACCTGCCATACCAACAGCAGTGAACCTGGCTGACTCGAGAACACCAGCTGCAGCAGCAGCCATGAACTTGGCCAGCCCCAGAACAGCAGTGGCACCTTCTGCTGTGAACCTTGCTGACCCTCGCACCCCTACAGCCCCAGCTGTGAACCTAGCAGGAGCCAGAACCCCAGCTGCTTTGGCAGCTTTGAGTCTCACCGGCTCTGGCACACCCCCAACTGCTGCAAACTATCCCTCCAGCTCCAGAACACCCCAGGCTGCAGCCCCTGCAAACCTGGTGGGTCCTAGATCTGCACATGCCACAGCTCCTGTGAATATTGCCAGTTCAAGAACCCCTCCTGCCTTGGCACCTGCAAGCCTCACCAGTGCTAGAATGGCTCCAGCCTTGTCTGGTGCAAACCTTACCAGCCCCAGGGTGCCCCTCTCTGCCTACGAGCGCGTTAGTGGCAGAACCTCACCACCGCTTCTTGACAGAGCCAGATCAAGAACCCCGCCGGGAGGCCCAGGCTCCAGAACCCCACCATCTGCCCTGAGCCAGTCTAGAATGACCTCTGAGCGGGCTCCCTCTCCTGCCTCTAGAATGGTCCAGGCTCCCTCACAGTGTGTTCTTCCTCCAGCTCAGGATAGACCTAGGTCCCCTGTGCCATCTGCTTTTTCTGACCAGTCCCGAGCTTTGCTTTCCCAGACCACCCCTGTAGCAGGGTCTCAGTCCCTTTCCTCTGGGACAGTGGCCAAGACCACGTCCTCTGCTGGTGACCACAATGGCATGCTCTCTGGCCCTGTCCCTGGGATGTCCCATCCTGAGGGTGGGGAACCACCTGCCTCCACGGGGGCCCAGCAGCCTTCCCCGTTGGCCGCCCTGCAGCCAGCAAAGGAGCGGCGGAGTTCCTCCTCCTCATCCTCCTCCAGCTCCTCCTCTTCGTCATCATCATCATCATCTTCCTCCTCCTCCTCCTCTTCTGGTTCCAGTTCTAGCGACTCAGAGGGCTCTAGCCTTCCTACCCAACCTGAGGTAGCACTGAAGAGGTGAGGGGCTTGACTTTTACAGCTGATTGTACGGGGCAGGTTTGGGGGGATGGTTGGTGGTGGGGAGGGAAAAGCCGTATCCAGAGGTTCTCTGCTCTTTGAAGGAGGTACGGGAATCTTGACCCTTAAGCTGGGGGTAGAAGAGAATGCTGGGGTGGGGGTATGGGGCGGGGGAGGAGCGGGTCAGATAAAAGTCTCCAAAGGTTCATTCTCTAGAGGATAATGATGAGTTTTCCGTCTCTACAGAGGACAGAACTAGAGGAAATGGACTTAATTTTACAGCAGGAGGGATGGCAGTTAGACCTCAAGAGGAACTCCCTGGGCTGGAAGGATCTTCAGAGGTCATCCCATCCCTCTCCCTGCCTCCAGGCAGGACGGCCCCTCCCCCAGCCAACCCGCACACATGGGGGCCTCCCCAAACTGTGGCTCTCCGTGGAAGGAGACCACCCAGCTCGCCTTCCATACCTGAGCCCAGGGGCCTTATTCCTCCATCAGGGACATTGTTGAGGTTTAGCCTTGATCCCTTGTGCTGCGGGCCCCAGCCTGTTGCTTGTGTTAGCAGAGGTTGGGTCAGCTCGGGCCACCGCTCTCCAGAGAATGCGCTCACTGGCTCTCAGCTTGGAAAGGGCGCAGGGCCTTTCTGCGGCACCCCTCCCCCACTGCCGTTCCTCCAGGCCAAGGAAGGTAGGGTTGGGGCTGGGGCAGCTTGTCTCCTTGTGACGCTCTGCTTCTCCCACAGGGTACCCAGCCCCGCCCCAGCCTCAAAGGAGGCTGTTCGAGAGGGACGTCCTCAGGAGCCGACCCCAGCCAAGCGGAAGAGGCGCTCTAGTAGTTCCAGTTCCAGCTCCTCCTCCTCTTCCTCCTCTTCCTCCTCCTCTTCTTCCTCTTCCTCCTCCTCTTCCTCCTCATCCTCCTCCTCTTCTTCCTCCTCTTCGACTTCTTCCTCCCCCTCCCCTGCTAAGCCTGGCCCTCAGGCCTTGCCCAAACCTGCAAGCCCCAAGAAGCCACCCCCTGGCGAGCGGAGGTGAGTGCTGCCTTGCTTGAGATGGAAGGGGTGCGGGGAGACCCTGGGTGTGAGATCCCTGCTGGGAGTCTCAGGTGCACTGTGGCGTCTGGTTAGGTGGGAGGAGTTGGGTTCTGCTCTCCCTACCGCCTTCGCTGTGCCCTGTTGTGGCAGAGGGCTGCACCGTCCAAGTGGGTGCTCCAGTCAGTTGTGGAGTCCTAGGTACCTTCCTCTCCCTGCCCCTGACATGCAGCCTGTTCCCTGCTCCCAGGTCCCAGGGATACAAGCTTTTAAATCTCCCCATTGCTACTGCCAGGGCTCCGGTCTGGCCACCGTCATCTTCTCCCGACTCTGTCCACAGCCTCTTCCCTGTCTCCCTGCCTCCACGCCATTCTCTTCCACACGTAGCCAGAGGGATCTTTCTAAAACGCACATCTGGTTACTTCCCTCCACTCCACAAATCCTTCCGGGACGCCCTGTGGCCTGCAGGATAAAGCCCCACCTCTGCGGGAATGGCGTGTGAGGCTCTTCACCAACTGGCCTTGCCTGCCCTGTGTTCTCCTCTCCTGCCCGCCCCCACACATGCCCTGTGCTCCAGCCATACCCAGCGCCTTGCAGTCTAAGGAGAACCCCATGCCTTTGGACATGCTGTTCCTTCTGCCTGGAATTCCCTTGTCCGCCTGGTGAACTCCTCGTTCTGCAAGACTCCGCTCAAACAGCACCTTCGAGAAGACTACCCTGCCCTATCCCTGCCCCACATCCCCTCCCCCCGGGTCCCCAGACCCATTGTACATCGGTCCTTGTGGGGCTGCTTCCCATACATGGGGCCAAGTGGGCCTCCCTTCACCAGCAGACTGAGCCCCTCCAAGGGCAGGGACTGTCTTTATCTTTGCATCCCCCGCTGCACCCCGTGCCCTGCCAGTTGGGGCACTCGGTGGATGGTGTGCGGGCGGATGGGTGAGTGAGCAGACAAAGGTGGGTCTGAGGCTGGCCCTGTGTGGTATGAGGTTTGGTGGTCAGGACCTGGGGGGTGGTCCTGAGTGCCGGCTGGTGGGTTTGAAAGACTCTGGTGCTATGGGGACTTGCTCTGCTCCCCAGGTCCCGTAGCCCCCGGAAGCCAATAGACTCCCTCCGAGACTCTCGGTCCCTCAGCTACTCGCCTGCGGAGCGCCGCCGCCCCTCGCCCCAGCCCTCGCCACGGGACCAGCAGAGGTAGGGCCTCCTGTCAGTAACCAGCCCAGCCTGGCCAGCATGGCTCTGTGAAGAGTTTTGAAAAGGTCCAAAGGTGCCAGAGGTTGGTGTTGCCTTGTGTGTGGTCTGATGTGTGTCCTGTGTCGTTGCAGCAGCAGTGAGCGGGGTTCCCGCAGAGGCCAGCGTGGGGACAGTCGCTCCCCAGGCCACAAGCGCAGGAGGGAGACGCCTAGCCCCCGCCCTGTGCGGCACCGCTCCTCCAGGTGCGTTGTCCTGGCACTCCAGTGCTTGGTCCCGTTCTGAGTTGCCCCAGCACTGGCTGGTCTCTGCACTGATTCCTTTTTTCTGTTGCAGGTCTCCTTGAATCTTTCTGGGGGGAAGTCCACCACACCCCAAGTTCTGGAGCTGCAGGGAGTGTCCCCTTTCCCCAGCAGAGCCATGGGGAGGGGTCCTGTCTCCCCCCCTTTGAACCCTGGCAGCATCTTGGGGGAGGGTTCTCTCCTTTCCCTCCCCCCCCCCCTTTTTTCTTTGTTCCTGTGAAATGTTAATCTCTGTGAGTTTTTCCTGGTTCACGTTTTGGGGGGTTTGGGGTGGGTGGGAATGAGAATGGGAGTTGCGGGAGGGGATGATACAGTTGGGGACACCCTGGTCTTGAGTTAGAAAGGGCCTGGGAGGCAATGATGCCCCCTTTTACCCCTGAGTTCCTGGGGGGCGGTGGTTTGGAACTTGGGAACTTTGTGTGAGGTGTTCCTGGAAG